ATATATATATATATATATATATATATATATATATATATATATATATATATATATATGTATATATATATATATAGTTAATTAGTTATTTTTTTATCTAAGAGGTATCTTTTTTTCATATCGTTTATTATATGATCCTACTAATATATATTTTAGAATTATTGTTGTAATATTTCAGCGAGTGCAATCAGCCCCAGTTCCTTAAAAGAAAGTCACTGCAACCTCAATTTTTAGAAGGAGTTTTGTCTGTACTCGTGTTTGCACTTCTGTGTCTTAAAGAATGCGTAGTCTTACCTATCATTGCTTACTTCTGGCCGGTAAAATGACAAACAGTGATGATTAATGGTGGATTGAACTCCGTGGTGTGGAAGTCTGACAGTGATGGAATATCCTCGTTTTTGTTTTGATACAAGATCAAAATGGTACAAATACACTAGGGTGGTTACAAAAGTTAGAAGGGTGAAGATACGTCACCGCTGCCAGATTACTTAGTGAGTTAAGCCAGCACATGGTGATTAGAATTTGGTCAACTTATTCCCACTAGTAAAATAATGCTGGATATATATATATAAAAATACTTTCCTTGATGCATTCGACGTTGTAGCTCTGTGGTCTGAACAACTGAAACTAGAAACAACAAGAAAGACATCATGTTGAATGTGTATGAATTGAATGCAACTCTATTATAAATACATGCATATTTAACAGAATTACATCCAAATTTAGGTTAGTGTCATACAAATTTATAGGACTTTCTTGAGTGGAAAAAGCATCATTAATTTTTTTTTGTCTGTATTCTAAAACTGATCGAAGTGTACATTATAAAATCCAAGATGAATAGTTACAGTTAAGGATTAGGAAAAAAGAGATCTAACTAAAAAAGAAGCTGCGATACAATCTGATGGAAAAATAATTAATTTATGAAATACAAATTATTCGATAGGATTAGTTGATGACAACTGGTCAAAAGAGAATGAGGAAGGCTTGGTCAGTGAATTGATGAATCAGAAATTACTGATATTTTCGTTTCTAAATTCGCCAAAGTGATAGATCGTCAATGCTGGTGTTGTGGAGTTCCCCTCACTCACTGCACCCTCCGCCTCACTAACAAGTAGTCGGCAATATTTCCCTACTGGGGACAAAAGATGTAACACATATAGACTATTGTGGTAGATAATATTGCAAGAAATAAGTTCTCCTAGTAAAAAAGACGGTTATATACAGTTTCAGTAAGAAAGACAGTGAATTTAATGTATTAGCCTGAAGACAAGAAACGAGACAGCACGTTACTGAAGAGCAATTCTGGAGGCCACACACAAATGCGAACCACACATATAACCATATATGATGTTGTGACTATATAACACAAATTTCATGCAAGTTTCTGCTGTATCTGAAATCCCATGTACAATATTCATTATGCACAAAAATCAGGCAGGAAAAAGACATTAAAACATAGATAGATAGATAGATAGATAGATAGATAGATAGATAGATAGATAGATTCTTTGAGAGAATGATGAAAACGCGGCCGTTGCTAAATATTCAGTAAATACATGAAAAAATTCAGATTTTATTTATACGAAATTTGTAAGTCAAAGTGGGAGACAGGCTTACCAACTTAACTCAATTGTTTCATCTTTCTGCCCGAAAGGATGACTTCATAAAACTTTTGAATTATTTCACAGAAGTTTGAAAATGGTGAAAACGTTTAAGTGGAGATTGTTCTACTGTAAAATGAATTCAAGTGGAACGGAGAAAGAAAGCCAAAATAAATTTTGGGTCGGTCACTACATAGCTAAATGGCCAATGCTACATAATCCGATCACTGCATGGAAATCAATCAAGATTCAGAATGATAGCTTTTTATTTTGGTGTTGAGGAAGGGTCTTTCATTTCGGGTTTGTTTCTGAATTTAGTTAGGGAGATGATCAAATTGCGATAGGAGGTTTCCGTTGCATCAGTTTCAAAAGTGGAAAAGCCTTGCCTACTTAGAAATAAAATAGAGAAAAATGTTATAAAATAGATTCAAATACAGGCCAATCGTATCAGAGACAAATACTTGATTAACTTCAGCTGGTCAGTATATTTATTAGTGGGATCAAAGCTGAAAATCTAGTGAATGGAAATAAATGACTGGACATAATCTGATAAATGCTTTCAGACACTGATTCTCTCCTCATCTGTGGGATGCGTATTAACATAGACATATATATATATATATATATATATATATATATATATATATATATGTATGTATATATATATATATATATATATATATGTGTGTGTGTGTGTGTTTGTGGGTGGGTGTTTGGTGGTTGGGTGTGTGTGTGTGTGTGTGTTTATAGGAATCTTTTGATTCGACATTATTTCTTAATGCTTAAATGTTACATTTTCTTTATTAAAATACTAGAATACGCAAAAGGTTCACAGTTTAAAAACCCGTACAGTTTAAAATCAAAGAAATTTACTCAAACACGTGTGTCCACTAATACATACCGTCTAAATAATAAGAAACACAAATATATGCGCGAACTCTCTCAATCATACACACACCAACAGACACCCTATATATATATATATATATATATATATATATATATATATATATATATATATATATATATATAGTGAGAGAGAGAGAGAGAGAGAGAGAGAGAGAGAGAGAGAGAGAGAAACAAATTAGAAAAAAGAGAAAGATATATAGAGAAAGACTCCTTAAGTCGTCAACATGAAATTTTGTTTCCTATATGCACACTGCCTATATCTCTAAGGACACTCCGAGTTTGGCTTGGACACTCTCTCCTTCATAAATAATGAATATTTAAAGCCCGTGCGCCCCACACACACACACACATATATATATATATATATGCATGCATATATATATATATATATATATATATATATATATATATATATATGCATGTATACATATATGCATGTATATATATATATATGCATATATATATATATATATATATATATATATATATATATATGCATTAATAAAAAAAAAAAAAACAATAGGAAATCTTTTTTTTTCTGTCAACGCCTTTCCTTCCATGTATTTATACATAGGAATGCTAATGTGGATTAAGGATGATAACATTATGCTTTCACATTTGAATTAGTGAAACACTCTATAATTTTTAAATTTCTCTCCGGATTTACGAAATGGCAAGTAAACTATGGGAAAAATATATAAGTATAAAATTATATCTGACGGCGAACTGCATGAACATCTTAAAACTAAGCAATAAAATGTTTGGCATAAAATGAGTTTCCCCTGGCATTTCTTTCATTAATATTGTCTTTTGCGAAAAAATTTTATCTAAATATTTCAAGCACTCACACACACACACACACACACACACACACACACACACACACACACACACACACACACACACACACACACAGAGAGAGAGAGAGAGAGAGAGAGCGAGAGAGAAACACACAGAGAAACACACACACACAGAAACACACATATATATATATTTTAAATAAATAATATATATATATCATATATAAATAACACAAATATATATATATATATATATATATATATATATATATATATATATATATATATATATATATATTGATTTAAAATATGTTTTTTCCTTACACAGTTCTAACCATGTTTCAAAATGGAAGCTAAAAGCCACGAATTTAATTTTGCAATTAAATTAAAGACATTAGTTCCATTTCATTCTCAAGCGAATTAATGTCTTTTAATTTAATTGCAAAATTAAATTCGTGGCTTTTTAGCTTCCATTTTTGAAACATGGTTAGAACTGTGTAGCGAAAAAACATATTTTAAATCAATTAATTTATAATATTAATACTCTGTAAATTTACATCGAGCACTATTTTGTAAAAAAAAAATACCTATAAGAACACTGGAATATATATGTCTTACTGTTCTTTTTTATATATATATATATATATATATATATATATATATATATATATATATATATATATGAGATAAAGATAAAGACAGACCGAAAAGAGAAACAGAGGTGGTGATATATGAAAAAGAACATTTAAAAAATGATTAGGATCAACAATCTAACATTTCAAATGTTTTTGGATACGTATTAAAATTTAGGAGACAGGTCATTAACTCATCCTATTTTTTTTATTTAATCATCGAACTTCACAGTGTCGTTATGTTTGATATATTATATTTTATACATCAAACGAAGTTCGTCTTACTTCTTTTAATTATATATTTTTCTTTATCAGATCATGAAATTATTATCAACTGTAATTATTTTGAAGAAGCTAACTTTTATTATAGTGAAGAAGGATTATCTCTGATATCTTGCGTATACCAAAAAGCCATACTTGAAAACCAATGATTATTTAATAAATGGCGTCATTATTTTATCCTTGTATAATAATCTGAAACATTCCTTCATGAAACAGTTGAGGATAACTCTGCTCTCATCGCTGAGGATTGTTAGTTTTGTCAACGTACAGGAAAGTTTTATAAAAGACGACGGAAAATGCGATACAGATATCCGAAGCATTGGAATAGGAGAAAGATGAATTCTAAAATTTATAAACAGTATTAAGAAATAGAACTTTCTTTTTCTTCATGTCCATTTTTCTTATTTTATGTGTCATGTGCGATACACAGTTATGCAATCATGTATCTTTCGATATATGATTGACGAGGCAGTTTTTTTCTACAGTAGGTTGCCATTTCTTTCTGCGGTAGACCATTTGCCATCTAGAACCCGATATGTTCTGCTATTTACCCATAGCTGGAGGGAGAAGAAGAAGATTCATGCCTTTCCTAAGGTTATTAGCGCGTAAGTGAATGTAATGGATTCGACTGGAATTCGAACTCGGTCCCCAGATTCCTCAATCCGAGCCGCTAGCCATTACTCCAACATGCCTCCTGTTTTCTTCCATATCCAATCCTCCATTCCCCACCACCTTCTCCTTCTGATCCTCCTCATCATCATCATCATGGATTCTTTTCAATGCCTCTCTTTCTCTCTCTCTCTCTCTTTCTCTCTCTCTCTCTCTCTCTCTCTCTCATCTGCTTTTTGCTATATACACTAGTCGTTCTTGATATTATCATTTGTTAATGTTCTCTTGCGTGGCCTTCAGCGACATCGTCTTCACTATTTTTCTCTGGACCTCATCATGTTACTTTTCCTTCTTCTTCTTCTCTCTCTCTCTCTCTCTCTCTCTCTCTCTCTCTCTCATCGGGCGCGCTCTCGTTCTTTTGTCACCGATAATTTTCTTCTGTATCCCCGAAACTTAACCCTATCGCCGGCGTTGACTTGTATACACGTTTTTATCGAAAGTACCTTTTTCTGACACGGACGAATAAACACGTCCAAAATATAATTTTGAAAAATCAGCTTCTGGGCTGAAACGAGTCTAATTCTCAACTCTTACGTCTGGTAGATGGGTTAGCCACCGCTCAGTTATTTCAAGATGCCTCGGTTTCTTTGTTATAAATAAAAATATTCGTCTGAAAATGAAATGTTTTTCCAAAATGAATTGGCCGGGAAGGGGTTAATTCTAGTATTTTGTTTTCTTGTATTGCGTTGGTTTTTTTTGGGGGGGTTTTTGGGGGGTTTTTTCTGGTGCTCTAATTATTATCGACATGACTGTCAGTCAGACCCTCAACAATGATATAATCTATAATGAAAGATTCATACATTTGAACAATTTACTCAATCGTTTTAAAACGACACTCTACTTCGAATAAAGATACGCTTGGATTTACATTCCTGAGAGAAGAAATATCATTCTGAATGCTGTTCATGGTTCATATATTTTCTCTAATGACATCAATATCAAATGTAGAATCCAGATAAAATATAGAGAGTTTTTAATCCCTTCCCCGGCTTTGACGTGTATATACGTTTTTTTTATCGAAAGAGTCTTTTTCATATACTGATATCAAACATAACTTTCAAATACCAGCTACAGACGTGTTTATACGTCTATTTTGATTCTTTTTATGCTCGTCTAAGCTTGAAATAAGTCCAATTGTCAATTTATATGCGTCTGGTAGATGTGATAGCCATCGCTCTATTACTTGAAGGTGCCTCAGTTACTATACTAAAAACAAATAAATAAATTCGACTGAAAATGGAACGTTTTTCACAAATAATTGGCGCGGAAGGGTCTTTAATATTTATTCTTCATTCTTCTTTTCCTTTACACTCTGCAACGAAAAATGTATCTCCACCAATCGCTAGGAAGGCATTCCATAGCTCCATAGTTAATAAACCGAAGGTTTATTAGAATAGGAGAAATATGACTTCCAAAAGAGTATTAATTAATGAAAGTGACTAACTTCTTTAGAAACAATAATATCAGTCATGCAATACGGCAGTGAATATTGGTCAGTTTTCACATGGATTAGAGTAAATCTGAAACGTCAAAGATATGCTTCTAATGAAGAATGCTAAAAATACTATCGACTGAAAAACTGAGAAACGTCGAGGCTTTAATAAAAATTTTAACATAAATCAACTCTTATAATTAAATTACAAAAAAAAAAAAAAAACATTTGAAATTTCTTTAGCACAAAATGAGGAAAGAGGGCATTGAAAATGAGATACATACGGGACAATGCTGAAGGTCAGCAGCAAACATCAAGCAACTTAATTATCGAGATTGTGTATATAGTTGCAGAACAGGGATTGGAACGGATAGTAAGTGGATAATGGGTTGGTTATAGCTAACAAGTTTAAACAGTTTTAAAGAACCATAGCCGCCTAGCAGCTGAAGGTTACAGCATGAAAAAGAATAATATACTAGACGAAGTGAAATACTATATATTTCTACATGTATTGATTTTGCATGCTGAGTATATTTCATGTCAAAATATGACTAAACTATCTAAGAACTTCAGCAACGGACCACAAGCTTAATTTGTGGTATTGATACGAATAGACTTCAATGCCTATATCAATAAAGAATATGGGAGATATGATTTTCTCTGTGATGAAGGTGAAAGTTCATCCTAATTGAACACTGGAATGCAATTCTCTTGATTGATGTGGCATCTTAGATGAGGGTTTTATTTCCTGTAAATCACCACATTCTTTGTACGCTGCAAAGATAGACATTTGTCAATAATTACAAGATCTGAAGAATTCTTTGTTTTCTAATCAGGAATAATTGCATGATCGGGGGGGGTCGTACAAAATGATGGCAAAAATACACGCGAAATTAACATGCATACACAAAAAAATGCAGACACTAGGAGAAAAAAAATTCTTGCCTATGATTTTGCTAACATGTAACCTTGAACTTAAGATGTGTGGAAGCCCGAAGGCTCAATCAGGTTGTTTGTTAATCAACTTGAAAGCGATGATTCATCCTCACAGAAGCCAAAGTAAAATCAGAGAAATACCAAACAACTAGAAATGGATGTCATAGAAACAGAGACGCACACAAAAACAATGTCAAATATTAATCTGCCATTTAAAAAAATCTATATAGATACATATATCTACACTCGCATACAGAAATTGTTTCATGCACTTCAGAGTTTGCACATACGTGCAGACTCATACGTACACACCTCTGTACCCAAATATGAGTTTTATTAATTCATTAATGACAAGTTATGGAAGCATTAATTACATGAAGTGGTATATGTATAGTTTAAAGTAATTTTGAATCGGCATCCCGGCTTAATTCACATTTCCAACGCTGTAACGTAAATTACCCGCTCCTTTATATGAATATTTTCATAGTAATTGATTTCATGAGCTTTCCTCTTTCGTACCTTGACTTTATAAATTTAATTATACGACTATATTTGTCACAACGTCTTATCATTTTGCATATAAAATGTCAAGATGTAACAGTAAGTTCTGTCCTTATAATTTCTTCTCTCGCAATTCTAGCTTTACTGTCAACTTTGATCTTCAAATATTCAAGTGCACTGTCAATCGTTATCTTCTGCCGTCTTAATTCTTGACCTTTCTTTGTTCTCGCTGATAATGATTTATTTTTATCGTATTTTTCCCATTCAGTAATCCCTTGAATTTTATTGGCTTTATTGCCTTTCTCTGAGTGAAATGATTAAAAAAATATATCAATCGAACAGAAACAGTATCTTCATTTATATGTTTTAATCTATAAGAAGCATTCTCAGTATTACAGTCTTTTTTGATTTATGAAATTGCAACAGATAGTTTTTTCATCAAATTTAATGATGCTTTCTCAACTTAATATGTGACCTCATGCGCTGCTTAGTTGAAGTTATGGTCTAAAAAACCTACAGAGGAAGATATTCATTTATCGAATGATTCGTTTTCCACGGTTTATCAACCTTTTGAAATTTATTTAAAGAAGGAAAATATTTTAGATTGTAAGGTTCAGGTAATGATTTAGTAATACAAGTCTTCCTAATTAACTCATAGCTGGTGGAGAAGAGGAGGATTGGTACTTTTGCCAATGGTATTTGCGCGTGAGTGAATATAACGAACCAGACGGGAATTGGAACTCTGCTCTAGGATTAAGAATTCAGAGTCTGAGAAAGAATTCTGCTGAAAGGGTGAGAATCGACCCCACCAAGCTCATTTTTATGCAGGATAATGTTCCCTGTCACAAATCAAAATTGATGAAAGAATACTTTGATGAGAAGCAAGACATGTTATGACATGGCCGTCCCAATATCCTGACCTCAACCCCATAGAAAACCTATGGAGCATTATAAAGTACACGCTCTCTAGAAAGCAGTTGAGCAACATGCTCCATAAGTTATTCTGCATAAAAATGAGCTTGGTGGGGTCGATTTGCACCCTTTCAGCAGAAGGGAGCAGACAGGACTCTAAAATTCTCTTGTACTGCTCGCTCCTGAGGGTCTTTTCAATAGGTTTCAGGAAACCAGTTCCATAAAAAGAAAAGCATTCCCAGAACATTATACTGAACGGATACTTGACAGTACTTACTGTTAAATTCAAAGAGCTTTCAAAGCTTCGCCTTCGGATTTTAGATCGCTTATCCTTTGAATTTAGCTCAACTTTCGTATCATCGGAGAAGAGAACAACATTTAGTAAAAAATATCAGGTGAGTCACTTTTTAACAGCACATATAATATATTTATATATATATATATATATATATATATATATATATATATATATATATATATATATATATATATATATATATCAACACTGGACAATTTAAAGGAGATTGTTTGAGCGTCCCTTAATATTGTTGACAAATGTAACAGTCACCTGTATCAAGTGGGTAGAAATATTGGACGAAATGCTGTATCTTACATTATTTATATTACTTGGACTTTTATCCTCATCTTCATTGCCATATTCAAGGACACAGGTTCTAGTGGATAAAGACGTTGGTCAAATCCATTAACTATACCCAAAGAGTTGTGTGTTCAATTCCAGGACACAGCAGTGGTGAATCAAACGTGGAGTGTTGAGTTAAAGGGAAATAACTGAGATAACCGGAAGAGGCATGGCACCTGGAACTAGAACAATCTACCATGATTGGCGGAATAAAAGGTTCGAAATTCCAATCACATGAAGAAGGCCGAAGTGTACAACGGCCGAACCGTTGTGAATATGGCAATAAAGATGAGGCTAACTGTCCGAATAAGGCAAATAATGTAAGAAATCATAATACCTCATCTCAGAGATATAGACAACAATGCTGCAATCTAACTAACAAAGGTGGAGATACTTATTCAAAAGACTTCATAAATGACGACACCATAAATGATTTTAATATATCAAACATGAGCGAATAATCTTCAGGATAATGCCTGTTGTAGATTACATTGGCTGAAACTTTAAATTAAATAGAGGTACGATGAAGACAAAAATAATTGAATTGTAACGAAATTATATCTTAGAATATTTGTTTGAGATGCTGTGTTTTGGGGATCTTATGAGAGGATAGAAATTGAAACATTATGAAAATGCTAAAGCCAATCTGTTTCTGAACTAGGCTGAATAGTTTGGTGGACATTCCGTCGACATATAATCACTAAAACGAAGGAATAGCGTGTTAATTTTATCTCCTCCAAAATTATACTGATATCATTTAATCACTACAGATAATCTATTCTGCCTTTCATCAACATGGCTTGAAGAGATTATCTTTTGCGCTTTCTTAGTCTCACGCTTTCCTCTGAGATGAATATGGATGATTATATTGAATCAATTCCTACGCCTACTGCCAAGAGAGGTTGTTCACAGTAACATCATAGACAATTTTTCTCGTCAGAATCAATCTTGAGCATTTATAAATTTACCATTCCTCCGTGTATTGGCGATTGCTGCAATATCTAGTCTGGTTATCCTACTAAATATCTCGAAATTCTTGACAAATTCCAAAGAGTCTGTGATGTTATCGTTCATGATCTGGCATCTTGACTTCAGTGACTTTCCCACTGTCTTGATGTGGCATGCCAATGTATTTTCTAATTTTGGTTATCTTTCCTCCTTCGTTCATCTCATGCATAAGCACCCTACTAGAATAACACCGTTTCTTCTGTTGAACTAGCAAGATGCAATCATATGTTCTATTCTAATAGTCTCGTTTTCTCGCACTTCTTGCATGTAAAATTCACATCCAGTTTCATTACATACACAATCTTCACAATTTAAATGGAGCGCCGATTGCCATTTTCTGCCTTCCTGGACACAGTCTTTAATTTTCCTTTCCCGGCAATTTCCCTATTCTCCTCTACTCTCATTAACCCCTTGCGTCTTAGTGGTATTATCACCTTGTTTGGAATTAAATATTTTTTTAAAGAAAATTTCTGCAAGTACTTCCAGGAGAGATGTTTAAATTCGAACAGTAAATAATTTCAAGATATTTTAAATTATGTTCAGTAGCAGATTTACATGGCGACTATTAAAATATATCAGAAACTGAAACTGGGAGTTTTGAATGAATAATTTTTAACCATTTTTACTTAAAACAGCATTTGCTTACTTTTATACTAACATAGATTATCTCCTAAAGATATTCAGAACTTTTCTTTCGAATAAATCTGCCTACAACTGTAACGTTATCTAACATCGTCTTAAATTAATCCAATTAACAAGATTTGAAAAAGTCGATATCGAAACAAAAGGTATTTAAAAAAATGCGAAAACCCTGAGGAATTTGCATAATGACAAAATGACGACTTATTTAGGTGTTCATTTTCTCAAAATTTGGTCTCCTCGATCTTTTTCTCCACTTAGGAAAAAGACGCCTGTTCTTTTACTTAAAATTTTCGATAATTTTCATAATTTACATAAATACGTTTTTCTTTTCGCGTGAAAAGCGACCGACGAATAAGATTATAAAAATGACTGAAGAAAAACAAAATTAAAAACTAAATTCCATCATTTTTATTTAGGCAAACCACCGAGATTTTGAAATAATGCCGTGTACGCATGCGCCTGTGAGCCATTACAATTTTCTGTCTTCGAAAGGAGATATCCCACGAAATAAACACAACAAAATATGAAGGACATTTGTCTATTGTTTCAGTGGTTTATAAATTGGAGAAATGAGGTAGTTATCTTCGTTGGTATTTTTTTTTAATTCTTAATACTTGAAATCTTTTCAAAATAATTATTTTACTTTTGTTTCCACGTTTTCAACCTTCTCTCTCCACCATGTTACCTTGTTTTATTCAATACCATTTCGTTCGTCATTTTCTGTAGAACCCTTCTTTCTATCTGTTTAATTTTCCACTCTTTTCATTTTCTACTTTTTCTTTTTGTTTTTCTATTTTTTAGTGTTTTCGTTCACACGTTTGTTTCTGTTTTCAATATTTTCTTCTCTTGTTTTTGTATTTCTTCTTCGTTTTCGTCTTTTTTTTAATATTTTCTCCGTTTTCTTCTTCGCTTTTGTCATTTATTTGTTAATTTTTTTTCTTCTTCGCTTTTGTCATGTATTTTTCATTTTTCTCCTCTTTCTTCTTCGCTTTTGTTATGTATTTTTCAATGTTTTCTACCCTTCTTCGCTATTGACTTTTATTTTTCAATGTTTTTTCTTCTGTAGTCGTCTTCTTTCATTTATTTTACTTTTCTTCTATTTTGTCTTCCTTTTTTTTTTTTACTTTATCATATTCTACTCCCTTCTTCAGCCTTTGTTTTTTTCGCCATTCCTTTCTCTTTCTTCATTTCCATTATTTTCCGAAGTTCTTGCCTATCCAATACTTTTTCTCCTCCTCCTTCACCTCATTTTCCTCGTCGTCATGAATTCGCTTCAGCATCTCTCCTCCTTCCGCTATTTTTCTGTATACACTAGTCGTTCTTTTAATATTGTCATTCGTTAACGTCGTTCTCTTGCATAGCCTCCAGCGCTATCTTCTTCGCCATTTTTCTTTGCACCTCATCATGTTCCCATTCCTCCCTTTCTCTTTCGTGCGCTCCTTCTCTTATCAATGAACCATTTTCATCTCCGTCCCCGAATCGTAATCATTATTCATCATTCTTCTTTCGCTTTTCACACTGCAGCGGCAAATACTCTCGCCCCCTCCAAATCCCGAAGAAAGGCATTCCGTAGAGTCGTAGTTATTAATCTGGTCTGCTGTGAATTCACATCAGGTGAACAACAACTGTGGCGATATAACGAACGTAGTAAGCATTCTTCATCTATGTGTCGTATTCTTTCAGGCTTTTGGCGATCATGACACTCCATAGATTTCTATCTCTTGTAGTTCTTTACCAAATCTACTAACCATTCTTGCTAGCTTGCCAGTAAGTTTGCCAAGTACTTTCTGTACGAATTGCCTTCAATGTTCCGCGAGAGTCTGATATTTCTGGGGTCTTTCTTCCTTATTATGTGTCCAAAAATGGTTCGCTATCTCATTCTATTTTCCTTTCTTTCTATTTTTCTTAAGAATCCTTTGTTACTCCGGCGATTCGTCGATGCTATTTATAGCATTCTCTTGTGTAACCATATTACTGATCTCTCCAGTTTTCTCTTCGTCTGTAAGGAGATTGCCCAACTTTCAGTGTAAGAAGAACAATACAATATAACTATTCAGCGTTTTTCTCTTTGTTTCTAATGAAATAGTCTATGCTCTTTGTAAATTGTGGTCCGAATGTCTTGTCACACCTATAATATTATTTTATATTTCAAAACTGTGAGGTATTATCAAGGAGAGAGTTTCATATGAACGGTACTAGAATAACCATCAGTTGAAGGACGCCATTCGGAGAACCTTTGCAGCAATCAAAAAAAGCACAGCTTCTTAAAATATCACAAAAGACATGGAGTCGCATCATTTTGTGCTCGGAAAATGATGGTGTTCATTAAGACCTTTTCAATGTGTGACAGGTTCAATGGAAGTGAATAAACTAAATCCAGTAAATGTGCTTTGTATTACTGTATTACTCATTCTTCTATTGTTCGCAGTACTTTTTGGTAGGTTGTCACAAGTCTATCAGTTCACCTTGCAATTAACGACTCGACTGCATCTGTTGCTCCACTCATGTCCATTCTGATTTTCGGTGTATATGTTTCCAAACTTATTCCCTTGTAGACAGCCCCGCATTCAGTTTAATTAAAAATGATAGTCTATTCTTCACGACTTCCTTTACGACATTGTGTAGAAGCTCCTCTAGTTTTCCTTCTTTTTCTGCCACCTACACAGTGTGATTTGCGTAGCTCGTATTGTTAAGATAAAGTTACGCTTATTAATTATAATTACTGGGTAATTTACTCTCAATAAATAATTAGAGCGAAATTCTACAAAGTCTTATTTATGTTATACGTCAAATCGTCACCGAATATGCCACGGCATAAAACATAGAGAATATTAGTTTACTTTGGCATTTCTGTTTGCCATGAGTGTAATAATTTTGAACTACTGTATTACATTAGTCTCGTTGCAGGCTATACTAGTCAATACTTTTAATGCATTCTGACGTACCTCGAGAGCATGTTAATAATAATTACCTTGAAAAGCGAATTGGATTAGCATTTTGAATATCTTTCTCTAACCAAGAGCCTCATTATGCCGGGAATGGTTTATCTATAGCTATAGAAATGAACAGTTATCATTGACATATTCACCAATTTTCGTATAAAACAAATATAAATTTCAAATTCTTATAATTCAATGTCAAGATAAAGGCGAAGTTTTGTGTTGATATATCAACGTTGTTGGAGACATCTATTTTAAAATATTTACGAAGATGAATGAGTAAATGTATAAAATATTTATTAAATTTATCTGAGTTGGAAATGTATGAAGAGTTTCCGAATTTATATTCTTCGTAAATTCACACTACGTAATTTATCAAACTAGTTTCAAATTTGTAATTGGTTAAACAATGTATTATACAAAATAGAAAGAAAAATGAAAGTGATTAATTATAACCTAAGAAGGGCTCTCGAAAAATAATTGCAATAATATATATATATATATATATATATATATATATATATATATATATATATATAAAGTGATAAGTAATAAATATATATATATATATATATAAAGTAATAAATAATATATATATATATATATATGATAAGTAATAAATATATATATATATATAAAGTGATAAGTAATAAATATATATATATATATATATAAAGTGATAAGTAATAAAATATATATATATATATAAAGTGATAAATAATAAATATATATATATATATAAAAGTGATAAATAATAAATATATATATATATATATATATATATAAAGTGATAAGTAATAATATAATATATATATATATATATATATATATAAAGGATATATATATAAAATAATAATAAATATATATATAAAGTGATAAGTAATAAATATATATATATATAAAGTGATAAGTAATATATATATATATATATATAAAGTGATAAATAATATATATATATATATATAAAGTGATAAGTAATAAAATATATATATATATATAAAGTGATAAGTAATAAATATATATATATATATATATATATATAAAGTGATAAGTAATAAATATATATATATATATATATATATATATATATATATAAAGTGATAAGTAATAAATCCGTTGGTATATGACACAAGTGGATGCTAGGAATATAAAATATTAAAACTGATCCAAAAAAGAGCTCAATGATAGAGAGCAAAGGATTGATACGCAATAAAATCCAAAATTACCGCATATGAGGAATAAGCTTATTACAACCGACTAAATTCGTCAGTTTTATTCTACCCCGGTGTATTATCCATTTCAGTGTTTCATTCAGATTGTGGTCAGGGGCTGGTGGATAGTATTTGTCTTAAAGCGAAGAAGTTTTATAAAATTAAACCAGGATATTAACATTATGCGATTAAATTGGGATTATATGAAGAATGAAATATCAACTTGAAACTAAGAGAAGAAACAAAATGGGTGTAAAAAATAAATTATAAAGATAAAGTTATATTTTAAGTTAATGATAAAGTTATATATATATATATATATATATATATATATATATATATATATATATATATTAATAATTTCATCCGGAATAATGTGGGAATGCCATTAGTACGCAGGGGAATACAAGGAGTTAAATTCAGAGAAAAACTGAGAGACTGAGTATATTGAGAATTGATGAAATGACAGAAGATGAACGGGATTCAAGAAAATACAAGATGGCTATTGACGTTGCATTTAAATTTTTGTAGTTATCAGAGAAGCAATTAAATGGAAGGAAGCAGAAGTGGCGGTTGCATTTAGCTGTTTCAACAATAAACAGGTGGGACCTCGACGCCAATCTAGTACGGCGCCTAAATTCATGTAGTCGAGGTACCAGTTAAAAAAGCTCGTCAGAATTGTTGCCATGAAAATATTTATAGAAAAGACAGAGGGAAGCCACATGACATCGCTGAGGATATGATTCATGGATCAGTGGATTCATGGATTCACTGCAGATATTTCGTTAGTTTATGTCAAGAACATCAAGCCATAGAGCAAGAACACCAGATCAGATATTGCAGCATTGTTTAATGCACAGATGAATGGTAGATTTGTAAATGAGCAAGATGGATTCAACGAGATAAATGTTCTTGCTAGACATATTAAACCAAATTTCTTTGCAGTCCCGCCAATTCAACACTTAAAAACGTGTAGGGAAGATGACGCCGTGTACTGCACTCTAGGAGCCTACCCTCAACCATACTTGAAGAAGCCAATTCAACACCGTGTAGGAAGATGACGCCGTGTAACTCAACACCTCCCCAATTCAACACTTAAAAACGTGTAGGGGAAGATGACGCCGTGTGCACTGCCTACCCTCAACCATAGGAGCCAATTACCCTAAAAACAACGCCGTGTACAGCACTCAAAAGGCCATCAACTTGAAGAAGTCCCGCCAATTCAACACTTAAAAACGTGTAGGGAAGATGACGCCGTGTACTGCACTCTAGGAGCCTACCCTCAACCATACTTGAAGAAGTCCCGCCAATTCAACACTTAAAAACGTGTAGGGAAGATGACGCCGTGTACTGCACTCTAGGAGCCTACCCTCAACCATACTTGAAGAAGTCCCGCCAATTCAACCTTAAAAACGTGTAGGGAAGATGACGCCGTGTACTGCACTCTAGGGCCTACCCTCAACCATACTTGAAGAAGTCCCGCCAATTCAACACTTAAAAACGTGTAGGGGAAGATGAGTCCGCTTAAAAACGTGTGGGAAATGATGACTGCACTCTAGGAGCCTACCCTGCCATCTAAAGAATCCCCTAATTCAACCATAAAACGTGTGGGAAGATGTGTATTCAACATTTAAAAACGTGTACTCTAGGAGCCTACCCTCAACCATTCAACACTTAAAACGTGAAGTCCCTGCACAATTCAAGAAGTCCCATAATTCAACACTTAAAAACGTGTGGGAAGATGACGCCGTGTACTGCACTCTAGGAGCCTACCCTCAACCATACTTGAAGAAGTCCCGCCAATTCAACACTTAAAAAATGTAGGGAAGATGACGCCGTGTACTGCACTCTAGGGTAAGCCTACCCTCAACCATACTTGAAGAAGTCCCGCCAATTCAACACTTAAAACGTGTAGGAAGATGACGCCGTATACTGCAATTCAACACTTAAAAACGTGTGGGGAAGATGACGCCGTGTGCCACTCAAGCCTACCTCAACCATACTTGAAGAAGTCCCGCCAATTCAACACTTAAAAACGTGTAGGGAAGATGACGCCGTGTACTGCACTCTAGGAGCCTACCCTCAACCATACTTGAAGAAGTCCCGCCAATTCAACACTTAAAAACGTGTAGGGAAGATGACGCCGTGTAGCCTCTGGAGCCTACCCTCAACCATGCTTTGAAGAAGATGACGCCCGCCTACCCCACCATTCTTGAAGAACAATTCAACACTTAAAAACGTGTAGGGAAGATGACGCCGTGTACTGCACTCAGGAGCCTACCCTCAACCATAGTTGAAGAAGTCCCGCCAATTCAACACTTAAAACGTAGGGAAGATGACGCCGTATACTGCACTCTAGGGAGCCTACCTCAACCATACTTGAAGAAGTCCCGCCAATTTGAAGAAGTCCCGCCAATTCAACA